AGACTAAACTGCCCCAAAATGTCAAGGTTCTGTGGAGATCCATTTTTAAAAGTGGCTTTCCCCCGTAAAATTAAAAAGAAAAAGAAAAAGCTTTGATTTGTTTGATAGATCCTCGCTCCACATATATTTCAAAAATCAACAAAATATTCAGGTTGCTAAAAACTATGGGTTTTAGTCCACTGTTTCTGATGGACCGTATAAGCTACGAGTTCGTGAGCTGATGTTAAGGCGCCAAAGGGTCGCTGCCTTTCCTTCCCTTTCCCGAGTCGGGGGACTTGGTGTCTACACAGAGGTGCCGATGTTAACTTTCCCGAAGGAGGGGAGGAAAGCCCACCCCTCGCCCAAATGTTTGTGTATGTACATACAAGCGTCTAATGGAGTCAGCCGCGTCAGCCGAGAGGGTACACGGTCCCGAATGGCTTCCAAGGCCCTCAACTTCTCCGGACGGCTTCCGTCGGCAGCCACTGCGAGAGCAGTCTCTCTCTTTTTTTCTTCTTCTTCTTTTTTTGCTCCGACTGAGACCAAAGCCAACGGCCCCATCCTCTCCTCTCCTCTCTTTGCCTCTCCGAAACAAACAAACAAACAGAAAAGGGAAACGTCAGGGGAGGGGTCTCGTGGGAGGCCGGGGGCAGGTCAGCTCGTTCGGGGAGAAAGGGGTAGCGGGCGCCGGCCGAAGGCGGGGCCGGCCGGTCCTTTTCACCAGGTCCTGCCATAAAGCAAGGTGGAGCAGGACATGGCCGTCCCGTAGTCCGAGGTGGAGGAGTTCAGGTGTGACAAGGCGGACACCTGGCTCTGCAGGGCGGAGGGGCTGCTTCCCGCGTGCTGGCCCAGGTCTGGCGATTGCCCGGCGCTACTGGCCTGGTGGCTCGGATGTTGTCCCAGGCTGGCCCCGTTGGAGGCCACGGTGATGGCGGTGGCCGCCGCCTGCTGTTGCTGGTGATGACCCTGCAGCGCCGTGGAGGGTGCGTTGGAACCCGCTTGGCACGGCTTGCCGTCTTTGACCAGGACCGGCACGGCCACTCGGCGGGGTGACTGCTGCTGTTGCTGCTGCTGGCAAGAGGCGCCCTCCTGCTGCTGCATCTGCTGCTGGGCCGCCTTGTCCTTGGCCTGGCGCTTCATCTTGTAGCGGTGGTTCTGGAACCAGATCTTGACCTGGGTGGGCGTCAGGTGGATCATGCTGGCCAGGTGCTCCCGCTCGGGCGCCGACAGGTACTTCTGCTGCTTGAAGCGCCTCTCCAGCTCGTACACCTGGGCCTGCGAGAAGAGGACGCGGCGTTTCCGCCGAGGCGCGCTCTGCAGTGGAGCCATGCTCTTGCTCACGTCGCTCAGCGAGCCCAGGCCCCCCATGCCGCCCATGTTCATGCCGGACGAAGGGCCCATGAAGCGGGAGACTGCAATCGAGAAGAGCCAGACAGGCAGAGTTAGTCGCCCGCTGGACAGGCCGGCTCAAAGATTTTTTCACCTCCGAATCCAGGAAGCCCAAAGCCTCCCCTCTTCCCCCCACACCGGACCCCTCAGAAAATAAACCACTCTTGCCGGGTGGCCAGACATTTTCTTCCTTTAAAAAGCCTAAGCACAAATAACAAGCCAAGAGTAAACCAAACCAGACCGCCCAAGGGTTACTTAAGAACCTGCGGAGATCGGGTTCTGATATCATAGGGGAGCTTTCCCGTGAAGTTTAAATCAGATCACCCAAATATGCCCAGGCCCTAAGCATCCTCCCTGAAAACCCTGCGAGAGGAAGATCTGGAGAGGAGAAAAAGCCCTATTAAGAAAAGGAAGGGAGGAGGGGCTGTTGATGTAGACAACATTTAACGATTCTGTGCTTATCAGTTGCTTTCGCGGGCGCATTTGCCTCCGAGAAACCGGGTTCAGAATCATAAGCGGTATATGCTGAGTAATAGAGCGCATTCCTCCCCGCCTCATCTACAAAGTTAGGCGTTATTGCTCTTATTGACTCTGTTGTTCCGAAGTTGAGATAAAATTCCCACTATAGACAAAGGCTTTGGAGGCTCGGTGTAATTTTTCCGGATTCGTGTATTCTGCCCTACCGAAAAGCATTATCTTAACTCCTCCACAGCCCTGAATTTCGTTTTCCCCGCTCATCCTTGATGTACGCGGGAGGCATCGCCGATTTCCCACCGTTTTTTGCCGATTTCTGCCCATTACAGCTGTCGCCTGCGAACTCGCGAGCCTCCCTCCTTCTCCCCGCTCCGATTGCAATTCATCCTAGGCACCAGATCTCTCCATCCCGCGGGGCGGCAGAAGCCGCCGCGGCCTTCAAAGTCTGGAAGCGCCTTAAATGAGGCGGCCCAAGAGCAGAGAAGAGGGGAAGGGGTGCCGAAGGAGGAGAGGCAACCCGGGCCGATTTTAGGAAAGCGGACCCAATCTCTCCAGCCTCACTTCGCCGATCGCCGCTCTGACAGCGACCCCACACCCGTTCCACCTGTCTAGGGCCGCGCCGCGATCCCTCCCTGAAGCGGGGAAGAGGTTGGGGGGCGGGGAGCCGCGAGCACTTACTTGTAGAGAAGCGGGGATCCGGGTTGGCTCCGTACCATCCGGTGGCGGAAGCGCTGTTCCTCATGGTGTCCTGGTAAGGCGGGAGGTCGCCCATGTTGCCATTGCAATAGCCACCCATGGCGGTGTGGGACAGCTGGGGGACCCCGGCGGCTGCCATGTGGTAAGCGGCGGTGACCGTCCCGTTATGGCCCATAGGGTGCTGCTGCATGGTCGGCTGCGCCACCTGGGATTGCCTGTACGCTGCCAGAGGAGCCCCCAAGTTACTCCCCTCCATGGCCACTTTCTTGTAGCTTTCCTCCAAAGGGCTCAAGATGTCAGACACTGAGAAAGGAGTCGTATGCTTTGGGCTCATCGACATGATTCGGCGGCTGGGGGGAGAGGAGGGGAAAAGAAGGGAAAGGGGAGGCAAAACTCTCTCACTCACTCTCACTCTCTCTCCTTTTCTTTTGCTTTTTTTTTTTGCCAAATATTCTGCTGGGTTGCTTCCACGACGATCTTGTTGGATGAACACGTAACCGAGTGGACCAAGTCCGCCTTAATTGGATGGAGTGGAGGCTCAGAGCTGCCTTTCGTTTGTTTTAGCCAGACGCCAGGTTTTAGGCTGCCACCAGAGGCGGGGCATAGGCTCTAAAGCAACAAGACAATAGATCCCCGCATCTTGCCCAAGATAATTAGCGTGCATGCTGATGGCAAGGTAAACACCTTTAAGTTTTGGGTTTTTTTTTACTTCTCAGGATTTGCTCTTCGTTTTCTGTACTTTTTAAGAAACAGGTTAGTCTTTTCACACGCACACAATAAATAAAATTATGCCTCCCCCTCCCCAAAACCGAACCGATTTTGTTCATTTATTTATTTATTTCCGGGAGGAGGGGAGGGGGGAATCTAACCCTTAGACTATCCCCAAGAAGGGGGTATAAAAAAATCCCAAGGGTTTAATGGGGGAGGGGGTTCAATTCATCTTTTCTTGTTTGATTGCTTCCCCCCCCCATCACTCCTCCCGTGGATAAGTGTGGAAAGCAAACCAGTTCCGATACCAACCTCTCCCTCTACCCACACACCCCGCGCGCCACTGCGACCCCCCCCCATGCGCTTCCGCCCTACCAGTCCTCTTCCTCCTCCTCCTCCCTCCGTCTGAATGAGGAAGGTCAGGACTGAAGAACTGGATCGAGTCTTCCCCCCCCTCAAGTCGCCCCCGCCCTCGCCCCCGCCTCCCGTTAGAAAGCCCGGACAGAGAGAAAAGAACAGCTCCCGATCAGACAGTGCCAAGTTGGCCGCAAGGCGGTCCCGGGCCAGACCTTGGACGGCTCCTCTCGGGAGAGGCTCTGGCTTTCCTAGAGCAAACTACTTGCGCCTTCTCGGGGCTGCTTAGGAGGCGTCAGCTGCCGCTGAGCCTCTAGGAAGCTTAACCGTCCGACCCTCGCCGCGCATTCGTTTCCCCCGCCCGCCCGCCACTCCGTACTTTGCCAAATATACGTTCTCTCTCCAGACATGCAATCACCTGATCCTATCGCCGCGCGTGTTTCCTCAAACAGGAGGAAGCTGGAAGTTTTTTTTTTGGGGGGGGGGGGAGAGAAGTCAAGCAATTGTGTAAGAACGGAGGGGCTGCTGGAAAACACATTAAGACTAAGAGGCCGTTTGTTATTTTCCAATCGGCGCCGTGTCACGCACTCCTTCGGGCCACGTCTAAAGCTTACAAAGCGGCGTTTCGCCATAACTTATGAATCAGAGACGCCAGGCCTGGCAAAGACCCTCAAGTCATCCCCCACCCCCACAACTCCGCCAGGGCGGAATAATGTCCTTGTTTCTCAAGATTTCGCTAAGACGAACTGCGGCCACTTCGGTGTCTAGACAAATCGGGAGTCCAAGTTGGCGGCGCTATGGCGGAGGTCTTAATCCACCCTCCGATCCACCAGCGGGTCAAGATGCCCTGCTTCGGGGGGGGGGGGACATGACTTAGAGGCAGAATCCTGGTCTCGTCGGAGGCCTCGGAGACTCCTCTTCCCCGCCCTCATCGCGAGTGGGGCAGGTGCGGGTTGGGTCGGGCCTTTATTCACGCCTGGAAGCACCCAAGGCCGCTTTGGTTGCCTCGTGTTACCCGCCGCCGCCACCGCCGCCAGCCGCCGCGCCTCCTTGTTCCGAAGCTATTTTTCAATGTGCGCGTTTCATATTCTTCTCCCCGGGAAACAGAGTGGGTGGGAAAAGGGAAAGGTGGCGGAGGGGGAAGGGAGGGAGACAGATTTTCTGCATCCTTGCCTGGCACGTTAGTGGTACCTAATTTAATAAAGCAATTCTCGGAAACAGAGAGGGGGGGGGAGAGAAGGCAGCTAAGGGGCAGTTAACCCGATGATTTTCAAGCTTCAACCGTTTAGTAATTGCCGCTGCTAAATCTGTTGGCATGAACGTCGAGCTCGGGCTTTTCAAAATCATTAAAGCAAGCTGGCCTATAAATAAAAATTAAATAAATAAATGCAAAAAGTGCACTTTTGCTGCTACCCGGGAATACCCAAACATCTTTTTCTAAAGTGGCCTTGCGTAAACGGCCGCTCGCTTTGTCGCCGACTCCACATCGGCTCCTAAAGATCGTTTTGCTCCAATTAACAGACCCTCGTCGAGGAGGAGGCAAGAAAACGCTCAGGAGCAAAGTCGATGCCCGCCTGTGTGCTTCGCCCTCCTTCAAGTAGAAACCGGCGCCTTGATTAGGCTGTAGGGCTCGGCAAGAGGTGAGCTTTGGCACGCCAATATAATTGTGGCAACTTTTGGAGGCAGAGCGTCAGTTTATTCCCCCCTTGAACGCCCCGCGCGCCGCTTCCGGACAGCTGCTGGAAACGAGGGCCATCGAATCAATGGGAGTGACTTCCGAAGTCGAGGCGCACCCGGGGCTGCTGGGTTTTAGGCTAGGACAACTTCTGGGCACTTGTGGAGGAAGAAATTTCGCTCAGGGGACGGCATGCAAGTATCATGGGGTCCCAACTAGGTTCCGTGAACGGTGAGCCTCCCCCCACTTTTTTTTTCAGTGGGTAAGCAACTCCCTGGAAGTTGTTTTCTTTCGGGCTGCAGCGGCGAATGAAGCTGTTGTGTCTGTCGCGCTAGAGGTTTTTGGTTTCCTTGCGAAGAAACTTTACTTCTGGTTTTACCTGAATCCAAAGATCTCCGTTATAAAGCAGATGCTTGGGCGACGGTGGCGCTTTTTTGGTTTTTTTAGGGTATATTATCTTGTAATAATTTATTTGTAGGAGCTCGGAATCGAATGGTATAAAACAATTTAGTCACCTAAGAATTAAGACCTTAGTTTTCCTTTTGGTTATTTTACATGCTGACCATTGCAGGACTGTTTCATTAAAAGAAATAAAAAATTAAAGTACCCTCAAAAAAGGTAGAAAAGTTACTTATATTGATAGCATATGTAACTTCTTTAATACCTACTGATATACAGAGATTATACAAGGATATCTTCAGCGTATGTATCTCAATATACATAAAAAGTACAGATTATTTTCTACAATCATTCTTATTTTATTTATGTTAAGAACACAAACTTATCTTAACGTACAATAATTGCATAATCAAAATACATTAAAATGTTAATCAATTCTTTAATAATATTCTAATAGGAGGTCAATGTAATAATATTTAGCAGTAGATATATGCATATATTAGTTTGCAGTGGGCTGTTGTATTGTTTTTTTGTGTATGTATGTATGTGTATCTATGTATGTATGCATGTATGTCATATATATCTATATTTATATGGAAGAAAGAAAACACAGAAATAGAATCACACTTTTTAATCATATCCACCACCGCACCACCCAAAAACGGGGCTTCTCAATTTATGCCTTAATGTAAGAACAAAGAATTCCAAACACATTTCAAAACTTTCTTCCTTCCTCTCTGCATTTTCTTTAGAGTATTGATTAGACTGGAAATTTGCTCCTAGAATATGTTCCTACAGTGTGTATTATTAATACTTTTTTATGAAATTGGACCCAGCTCTACTCTTCCATTTGGATCTACACGTTTACACTGGAATGTATTTATTTTCACTAAAATGATCAAACTACAGCCATTGATCCTCCAAAATCTAGCAGTCACAGAGCCAATCAAATACACAGCAGTAGCGGGACAGAATTAATTTATATGTAAAATCACATCTAAAGAGATGAGTTTGATCCTCATCAAATAAGTTGATCTCCAAATCAAGTCAAGGCAAAGTGTTTGGATTTCATTTGGTAGGCAGGTTCATATTTTCAATTAGTTGCAATAGTGCTTACTTGTAAGTGCTTTGATTGGAAGAGAATTTCATTTCCAGCTAAGAGAGCGTAGACTTTGCAGCAA